TATCTAAACGTCTCCACAAACCCTTTTAATTCTAAAAGAATAGTCGATTCGGGTAATCTCAGTACTTTAATCACGCTTATGAAAAACAGTTTGTAATGATTACTACATATCAGTTAACTTAGGCGTGTTGAAAGAGGTTTTTATATCTGTCGTCGAAGTTACGTTTCAAGTTTGCTGGTTTAGTTGTTCAGATGCTGTGGTCATTTGAATTCGAATTGGAACGTTCTGAATCAAATTATAACTTTTGCTAGTTTACTGTTCTCGTATGAACTGGTTATTGAGCATATTTATTGCGAATATTTAATACAAGGTACATGCTCCTTTACACAAAATACTTGGATATTTTCGTCGAAACTGTTGACCTTGGACGAGTATTCTTGTAGTGTCAGTCATTATTTTAAGCCCACATATCTTATATTCTAGCTTTCGGACCTCCCATTCTATTCATTCTACTTGAGTCATATTTTGACCTTGTCAATTATTCGCTTACCAGTCTTGACTGTTTTTATATGAGCGTGTATGTGTTTGCCCTTCTTATCCTATTGATCACATGTCTGTAGCTTTATTTTGTCTGACTATAAATATTGAGTAACATTTGACTAAAATGGAATTGGCTTCCCAGCCATCTTCCGTGCGTGTCATTTTGCTTTGCTATGTTTTATTCGCTTCATATTCAAAATATATGTATTCTCAAGTCAATTCTCGTTATTTGACTTATTTAATTCCGTTATTGACTAACGCGATTTAAGTCGACGATTATATACGAGAATAGGCAATGACAAGCATTTATACGCTCTAAATGGAGTCAGATCAACGGGTCACTAAATTCTTCACATGGCACATCGCGAAAGACTTTATGATCTATCCACATAAAAATCTATGAGTACTGAGGCTAGTCTAATTATATTCATAGTCTTAGATTGGTAATGTTGCAGTTGAGCTTCCATAACTTTCAGAGACTTTCAACAGAAAGTTCGAAGATACGCTTGTTTTGGTAAAGCTACTCCAAAAATCTTGTATTCAGGAGACATAAATATACACCCTTATGATTGTAGTGGCTTAGCTTTGCTAATCGATCACCTTGATAACCGTTATTATATAAATCCCAATGGTGTTTGAAATCAGAAGGCGATAAGAATCGGCGACTACGGTTTGTTAGCGGATAGCACAGATAAGAAAGCTACAAGCACATCGAGCGAATATAAAGCAGAGAGGCGAATGTGTGTATGTGAGCAAATACAGAAGCGAGTTTATTGTCAAATCGAATAAGGTGCAGCTATGCGAGGCAAAGTCTATTAACGTGATCCGAGTACATGTGTAGATGGAGAAGAGAATGATCCATCAATTGATATTTAAGCTAGAGTGAGATGTGTGTAGGCTGTCATGTGGTCAAGAGTACACGTTTATGCAGACAAGATATTGATCATAATAGTATAAAGAAATGTGAGAAGTGTTGCTGTTCGAATAACAATGTCTGTTAAGTTAATAAAAGGGTTTAACAAAACTAACCATTATCGAATTGGATTGCAGGAGAGTTGCTATACGATACTAAAAGTTGTCCATAAATATATAATTTATATATCAACACAATGCGAAATTTGTGAGGAAGCATTGCTGAAGCACCAAAAGGATCTCATTCTTATGTCAGGTTACCATCTACGAAATATATCCTACCAAATAAACATCATTAGCTGATTATCTCAAAACTGGATGGTTTTCATTTTATTATTATTATTGAAAATTTAGTATCGGTAATGTCAGAAACAACGGAAAGCGATTTCAGAACGCTGTGAGAATTGGTTGTTTTCCATTTATCGTTTTATAAAGTCTGAACCATTGCTACTCACTAGAAGCGTTTATCTGGCAGTCAGATATGAAATGATTTGCGTCAGATGTGACAATCTGAAGTCTCACACAAAGCCACACTGAGGTGAAAAAGTTGGATACTTTAAGCTCATGTAATATATTGCTTAGTCGCCGTGGTGAACAACAATCTCAGGGTTGCTCGGTCTCGCGTTTGTTTTATAGTGATTCTTATTGATTTCGTATTGCAAATAATATAAGTTTGGTCGTGCTCATCTAATATTTATTGGTTAAATTGCGTTATTTCTGGGATTCTTAGTGTGTACTATAATTCAAATACTCATAATCATCACATTGGCGTCGCGATCGAGCCTGTTATGGGATGGATGCACTATAATTCAGATACTCATAATCACCACAAAAATATCTTCAATTATAGATTTTGAATTTCTCATCACTGAACGTAAACCATCTACACTAGGTCTAGAAATTTTAAGAGACAGCTTTCCACTCGAACTTGTTCCAATGAACTGCTTGATAACTTGTTACTGACGGAATTGAGGTGCAGAAAGTTAGGAACGACTCCAAAGTCCCCTCTTTCTCAGGTAAATGTATGAAACCCCAAAACATTGAAAACAAAGGCCAATTATACTACTGCTGCAAAGTTAAAAGACCCAAAAAGGAGAGCAAAGAAAGCTACACAGTGCAGATGTATTAGACCTTCCACAAAAGAAACAATAATGAAATTTCTCAAACAAAAATGTATTCGTAAAAGATTTCGAAACCTTTCCAAATAATCCTTAAAAGCATCGAAATCTGAATGTATGTGCGACCATCCCATCGGGACCCCAATGTGGTGATTATATATGATAATTAGAAGTATTTGAATTACAGTACGAACTATGAATCCCAGAAATAACGCAATTGAATCAAGAAGTATCAGATAAGCGTGAACAACTGTATTCTATTTAGAATCCCAAATCAAGCATTCAACAAGTAAAAGGGATTCTTTGTTTCATACAAGCGCCACATTATGTCCGTTTTTTACATTTTAAGTTTGTGTAAACGTTGTAATTACACAAAGAAAACTAAACAGAATTGCTTTTCTCTTATATTGAGTGAAGTAATGGACTTCAGTGTGTTCAGCATTTAGAACGCCTTGATTATTAACCTACTATCATACACAGCGAAGCTTGAGAAACCAGACCTCATCACTATAATACAGCAGATTATGAAGTGATCAGATTTTGATGTACGGAATAACAAAAAATAATTTTGGGCCGGACATGTCCTCTCTGTTTCCTCCTCTCGGATCAGGATAACTCATAGGACATAGAAGGCGTGCACAAGAACGACGAAGGAATAAATTACCTATGACATACAGGTTTTTATACCAACTCATCAATTCTTGGGATTTTTGCACAAAGATTTGGTATCTGCTTCTCCAATTGACTCATTGAAAAGAAAGATAAACACTAACAGAAGTTTACTAGAAGATGAATAACGTAGCCTGTAGGCCCACCGTGCCCAAAACACAAATACGAATTTGTTTGGACAGATGGACAAGCATCCTCGATTGCAAGGGAAAGGTTGATGTCATTTACCTTGATTTCTCAAAAGCTTTTGATAAGGTTAACCACTTGTGTCTTATCAACAAGCTCAAACGACTAGGTATCAAACCACCTCTAATCGATTGGCTTACTTCATACCTAAAAAATCGACACTTTAAGGTTAGGGTTAATTTCACTTTATCTCAGGCTATGGAATGTCCTAGTGGGGTCCCCCAGGGCTCAGTACTAGGGCCTCTTCTCTTCTTGATCTACATAAATGATCTTCCTCAACAGGTAACGTCAGACTTATGACTTTTTGCCGACGACGTGAAACTTTGGAGAGAGATACGCAACCAAGACGATACACAGGCACTTCAGGAGGATCTGACTCGACTTCAAAGTTGGGCAGACGATAACGGACTTACCTTTAACACTTCAAAGTGTAAAGTAGTCCATCTGCGACATGTCGCAAACTACAGTTACAACTTAGGAAACTCCTCTCTAGTAGTATCCCAAGTCGAAAAAGATTTAGGAGTCCTGGTGCCCCATGACTTAAAGTCTTACGCTAACTGTGACAAAAATGCCTTCCGAGCAAACCTTGCACTGGTAACGTTGAGGCGCATTTTTGGCCAGTTTGACGGAAGAACTTTCCATATAATCTTCAATAGTCTCATCCGTCCCCATTTAGAGTACGGAAACATAGTACTTCCCCCCTCACTCCAAAAGGACAAGGTCACTTTGGAGCGTATCCAACGGCGAGCCACGAAATCAGTTCGAGGACTCAAATCTAAGCCTTACGAAGAACGCCTCCGTTCACTAGACCTTTACCCACTAGAATATAGGCGTCTTAGAGGTGATTTATTAATGGCTTATAGTATTCTTAACACTTCTGGACATCCTCTTAAACACCTACTTAAGCTTAGTTCGAATAATAACCTAAGGGGTAACACCCAGAAACTGGTGTAGATCACCAACGTAGATGATCTATGTCGAAATGATTGGAGGCCGACTCGAGTTAGACGTGAATAGTGTGACGAACTAACTAACGTCGAAGTCACACCTCGTGGTCAGCACCTTACGTGGACTACCCCCATCGACGTAACAAGGTACTATAAATGCTTTGAAGACTGTAAAACACAAAGGACGTTATTACAGAAATATATTAATTAAAGTAGATACAAGCGAAAGTAAGACCACTGCCGCATGGGCCAGTCCATGGCGTATGATTAACTAATGCGCGTTTCTTGTACATGACCTTGGCAGGGAGCGATGATCTGTTCGACATTCAGTGATCCAACTGCCGGATGATTTGGCTAGGGCTCAGTGACATTTCACTGGCCCTACACTGGAAACACAACATAGCAAGACGGAATGTAGACACAACTCCTACTCCTTAAGAGTTGTCAAAAGCTGGAATTCGCTGCCGGCCGAGCTAGTCCAAGCGACTTCTCAGGAGTCCTTCAAGAGGCAACTTGACCTATTCTTAAGAACCAAGGACAGCGTCACACTATGATTTACCAATTTCTTTTCCTCTTTTATTGTTAACATACCTAGGTTCCTGCCTGGAGGATTTGGTGATCCCCTGCTACTAGACACGGAAGCCTGTTAAGCAAAAGCTTCTATTCCGTCCACAACCATTTGAATCATTTGAATTCGCAGCGGGCTGTGTAAACCGTGTGCTACGTGATCGGAAACTGGTGACGTATTGACTTTGTAATGGTTGACGAAGCTACAAAGAAAACTCTTGCTGCGATTCCACTTCTCAAAACAAGAGCTGGTCCTCTAGATGGAGACATGTGGATACAAAGGCTGAAGGAGGAGTATCAAGCCCTAATAAAATACGTGGAAAATAACAAAGCGGCAGACAACGATTGGTTTCGTATTGAATCAAATCAACTTGGGACTCGTTGGTATGGAAAATGTTGGTAAGCCCATTAGTTTGTGAGTCTTTTTGCAGGTATATACAAGATATGAAGAAGTATGAGTTCGATTTGAACTTCGATATACCTGTTTCATATCCCAGTACTAACCCAGAACTTGCATTGCCTGAGCTTGATGGAAAAACAGCGAAAATGTATAGGGGCGGAAAAATATGCCTTACGGACCATTTCAAACCCCTATGGAGTAGGAACGTCCCTAGATTCGGGATCGCACATGCAATAGCACTTGGTTTGGGTCCTTGGTTGGCCGTAGAAATTCCTGATTTGATATCAAAAGGAATTGTTAAACACAGAGATGATCAGTAATATATGTATTTTCATACTTAATTTGATGTACTGATATTGTTTTTTTAATTGTGGCACAAATTGGCTTTTGTAATAATTTATATGAACTCAGTTTTAGAGATTGATAGCTCATAATTCACCTCTAGCTTTCAAAAGATTGCCTACATCAACACAATAGTCTTTTGTATTTGCAAAACAAACCAACGACATTGCTTCGATTTCCTTGCATGTGTTTAGCACTGCATGATAATTTTCTTGTTCAATGTATGAAGAAGCCTTTTTCCATGTGTCTAGTAAGGCGTGTTTTAGTCTGAATGCAAGTCTTAAGTTGAACTAGGGTTGGGTTGCTACATCCTCAAAAGTATTATTGATGTTTTAACTAGGTAAAGTTATTTATCACATTAATCATAAGCTTCAGACCACCAAAAGTCGTGCTTTCGTTAGTGGTAATAGACTATAGATAGTTACTATGCTATTTATTATTGAGATTTCCGATTAGTCTAAATGAGCATGAGTCACCATTTAACTACCTTATTATTTAATCCATTATTGTCTATTGTATCTGACTGTACACTAATAAGTACATACTTTCACGTGGCCTTTTGACCACACACTCCAATCTGTTTAGATGGGTGCTCAGATACTTGATTATTAACTGGTTTTACTGCTCAGACCCACTTTTCACGTAATTTATGAGGAGCAAATTCAATCCACAGAAACGCTTGTCTGAATTCAATGAAATATATTCGAGGCAATTTTTATACTATGTATATCATTCGTTTTGATAGCCGTTATTAAATCAAACTATGAAGTAACAAGTCCAGCTCGCTATCGGATGACACATCAAAAGGTCAATAACACGAAGCGAGGACGAATAAATGAATACGATTTATGAAGCACATGTGTATATAAGCAAGCAAATGAGTCGTTGAATTTGTGTGTGGTCTATAATACGTGATTACTCATGCAAACATGATAATAACATAAAGTTATACACAGATTATTAACGACCCAGTGGTACTGTCCATTAAGTTAATTAATTAATTAAAGGCCTTAGTAAATTTAAAATTTAACTCAAGTGTAGGTCAGGGGGCTACATTTTAAAGCATAAATAGTTACCAAACATTGTTCAGTGTATATTTTGGTCTTTGCAACAATCACAAAATAATTATCGGGATCGAACACCAACAGTGACCATATGTGCATATTGTGAGGAAAAATTAATATTAAAAGTTTTATCCAGACTAATGATCCACACGACCAGGCATTCAAACAGCCATACAGATAAATTATATATACATAACATTTGATTTACCTCAATTTCATGGGTCAGTCTGTTCGTGGATAATAACCCTGTCTTAGTAACACTATCGAGAACTAGAACATATTCAGTGAAGTATGAGTATTTTGAAGAAGTTTAAAATACTGTGAAACCATAAACCGCATAAATTACTCAGTTACTCTTTGATATTACTAATATTTCAGTTAAAAGGAACCAAAACACAACTTATTAGTCAACAAGATAAGGAGAGTTCATTATCCGAAGGAAGTTGTTGTAGTGTAACGTAAGTGCATTAGCTTAAGTTCTATTTATTTCTCCGGACCGCAAGTGAACAAACCGATTTTCAAAAAATTACATGTCTGAATATAACATCTTAAAATGTGTGGTGTGTGTACTAGTTGCGAAAATCCTATTAGATGACACAGCATATAACCAGTGAAATATTTCTAAACCTGTCAAGACGAATAATAAACAGTATAACGGAACGGTGCTACGTCATACAGGTGAAGAACTTAGTATTTGAAAATATGAAAGGTTTATTTGGTTGCGACTGTGTTGTATACTGTTGTGCTTGTGTGCACACTTTCGTACAGAAAGACAAACCAATTTTAAATGCCTACCTACTCAATTGACTATAGCGCCTCACGCATTAGTTAATGTTCATCCTGGCAGACTGTTATTGTAAGAATACTCCATCGATGGAGTCATTCACGTTCAAAAACTAAATTCAGCGTATTAAACATCTGATAATAGAAATCCGTGATGGGAGACCCCAGGCGGCTTTGTAAGAAACTGATCACAATATTTAATGCTTCATATGTTGTGTCGCAGTAAATTTATTCGTTTTCTTCTAAGTGTGAGAACTTTAACTGCTGCAATTTCGTTCCTGGTTCATTTTGTTTGGTTTCTCAATAGTCATTTGTTTAACAACTAATTGTTGCTACTAAGTGTTTTGTCTTCACTTTCCTCAAACGACGATAAAGTTTTGGGGAAACGAGTAAAGAAATCAAGAATTACTTCAGTGACGTTTATACCGACATTATTTCCACAAAAATAATGACGCTCTGTCGAACTGTCTAGACAAACGAAAGAATAAACCAAATATGGTCAGACACTAACCATTCTGCATGTTACAAAACAAAAACAACGCTATTTACAACTATTGTTGACGGTAACTAGACGCAACCCATCGCAAACTCAATACTGCATAGCTGCAGACACATGACCACGCGGTGAATCTGTAATAAGCTCTAACATGACATAAGTAACCCGCCTACATAATCATTCGGCATATGAATGACTGTAAGACTGGTTGACCCCCAGTCTTGACCATCTTTCATTACTGTGTTTTGATACTATTCTTATAAGAGGCTCATATTCGGTCCTTTATCATTTTCCCCGAAAAACCTTGTTAGCTAGCTCTCTGTTGTAATAGGTAGTTGACAGTTTTCTATTATTAATTTGATGCTAATCATTGTATAAAGTCTTTGTTATTCTGGTCCAGGCAAATTGCTTCGTTGGACATCACACACACCGCTATCGAAATAGTTACAGTGATATCCAACCCTTCATTGACTTTAAGCATGAGTTATTAGCAGGCGAATAATTGACATGTTAACACACTGGACATACTGCTTAATTAGTTCAGGACGATTATTGATATGTTATATATTGTAGTTTTACTAGTTGTTCACCAAAATTATATTCAGTATCGGTATTAATTTGAGATTACAGTCACTTCAGTGCTGTTTTTGTGCGCTTGTTAGAGTTCATCTATATCCATGACCAGATTAATAATAAGAACTCAGTCGACAGGCACCTATTCGTATTAATCTATAGCAATACGATCAATCTCCATCTACTGCCCGCATGATGAATCCTTAGTTCAGGTGCTACCCTAAATTTCTCTGTAACTTTTACATTGATGTGGTGATCGGGGTTGCATACCGAAATGACCCGATTGAGCTACGATTGCTGGGACACTTGCTTTTTTATATCCTTCCATGTTGGGGAACAACAAGACTAGAAGGAGCAAACTATAGTCGTACTGTTGATTTTATAGAAGTGTGACAGCAGTAATTGTTTCCTTCAAGCAACCAACACCTGCAGCTATGCTGCCTTCTCATAACAGAAGGGGCTAAAGACAGTCGACCATAAAATTGTCACACTTCACCTTACTCCATGGTTTTCCGTCTCCGTCGGTCAAGCCCTTTGGAAAATGGGGCCAACACATTGGAAACTTCTCGTAGGAGGGTTGTATGTGACCGACCTCAGACAGTTGTTCGTTGGGCTGCGTGGTCACCTTTCCAGATCGCTTTGACGATTAATCTGGTTCCTCACCCAAGTATCCCACAAAGATATATCCCTCTATGGTGTAGAGATCCGGGAAGTGACAACCATCCTCATACTTCTAACAGCGCGCGAGATCACTTCATTCACGGGCAAGCCACATCATCATCTGTCTCAATAAACTCAATTGTCGGGAACCTAACTTAATCAGTGACTATTTAATGGAAACGACAAGTTGACAACTGTAAGGATTTATATTGACGACTCCCATACAATACGAAATTTCTTGGGATTGATGAACAACGTACGCTCCTAGTAATTTCCAACGTACTGGACTTGTATTTGGAGATCACTTCCGCTCTGGCTGAATAAATACATCACACCTGTTTTCTATGAAAATATCATGTCGCTTTCTATGACGATATACGTTAAACTCAAAATATTTTAGAAATATATATACATATTTGGCTTTCCTTCTCGATCTACTGAAATATATTCTATTCCTGACTATCGTTATATACTACTTATGTGTATATAAGTAGCGCACACCACACAGCGTAGGGATAAAGTTATCTGTGCTTCACGTCTAATTATATGCTTTGGAATTAAGGAACTTTTATCGATATTTTACCAGTTTCTGACCGTCAGATTATAGAATTCAGATATATATGTGTATTATTAGAATAAATATTAACATTAATTGGTGAAGAATTTTAGTTTACTTACGTCGATGTTATGTAAAGCCCATCCATCAACCACAGAACCCCACAACCCAAAGCTTAATGTGGTACTAAATAAACATGTGGTTCAGTAGGTGGTAGATCAGTCGGAATTAAAACAGCCAAATTGACTTAATTGAATGGTCGGCCTCTTTAGTTTAACCAGCATAAGGAGTAACAAGTGGCTACATCAACCAGTCAGTAACAAAATAGAACTTCGTACGTACGTACATCAGTTCAAGTTATCATACCACATTAGCACATCGCATCCCCAACATACTTGCATTGTTGCTTATCTAGTGGTCAGAAGACTGAATTTTGTCAGCGTCTTCACCAAATAGAACTGTCATCGGCATATTCTAAGTCGACAAGTGAATCTCCTGGTAAAAGTTCAACTCCTGGAAATTTAGATGAGGAAAGTATTATCGCTAAAATCACGCCAACGACGAAGTTAAGCAAGAATGGAGAGAGTGGACAGCCTTGACGAACACAACTTGAGGTAATCAATTCTGATGAAAGTTCACCATAAGCTCTCACTCGACCAGTTTTGCAAGAGTAGAGAGCCTTTATAAGGTTGATGTACGTCTTTGATACTCCTTTCAGTGGCAAACACTGCCATAGAATCTCACGATCAACAGAGCCAAACGCCGTCTTAAGGTCGAGAAACACTACGACTGCGGGGCGTCTGGATGTTCTAGGACTTGACGTAGTGTGAATATCTAGTCTATACAACCACGTCTAGGTTGAAAAGCAGCCTGGTTTTCTCTAGTCTGTTCTTCACGTCCTTTGGTTCGGCGTCGAAGTATTATTGAAGCTAATATTTTACACACTATATTAGTCAAACTTTTGTCCTTTCTTATAGACTGGTACGATCAGTGATTG